TTATTTTTATTTCACTATCTTGTTTTGTTTTTGTTCGTCTTGTACAGAAGAGAAAAACAACATAAGACACCCCCTCCGCATATGTACACTCCATTGTACACAATGGAAATGTAACTGCTAACAGTTCAGTTTTTTTTGTTTTTTTTTAAAGAAAACAAACAAACAATCATTTGTTAATTTATAAAATTTTTATTTAGTTTATTATGTATATCACACCAAATACAATTTATTGATTATTTATTTACTTGAACACATAAATATTGGTACAAGGGGGGTGCCATATATATATATATATGTGGGGGAGGTAGGGTGCGTGTAAGAAAAAGAAGAACAATAACGACCATCGATTAGTGTATCGTAGTGAAATAATAATAATAATAATAGTGGGGGAAACGGAAAGGTACAATCAGGAAGAATTCTTTCAGTTAAGGAAGATACAATCACTTTTTATGAAGAAAGTAAAAGAAGGTTACAGCATGATCGCCACTGGCTTCTATTCTGAGCTATATCAGATAACGTCTATAGCCACAGTGTTGTACCATCTCTCGGACCCTAGCCAGGGAGTCGTGAAGGACTAACAGAAGCCAGCCCTTTGCAGCTTTCTTTCATACCACGACAACATGTCATGCACTGACCACCTCTCCGCTTTTTCCAACCAGTCCCAAAGTCGGCAAATAATACACGACGTGGAATTCTCTGGGACGACGTTCATAGAACATGTCGAAGCCACCGAAGTTGATGTTTTAAGATGGTGACACCAATTGAATTATTGTCTCTGCGCCAGAACACACGATGCTGAACATCTGCATTACTAACATAGTGTTCCCACTGGATGTCAGCAATCCTTCGGAGACAACAATGATCAAACACAGAGTACACTAAATGCAATCGTTTATTGATTCATTTATTATTTATGAATACATATCTAGACCTAATTGTTCTTCTTCATGACCATCTATGGCTTTATGTTAGTTGATTTTCAATTCTTACTCAATCATTAACCTTATGGTTTAGGTGGAATGAAATCTTGGAAATATTAGGGAGGAACTGCGAGTTATTTAAGGTTTAGAATATGTCGAATATGAGACAGATGTTAGTTAATTGAAGGTAGCTAGTAGGAAACCCTGTATGATCGATATTTCACGCTAGTTGGAAGGCATCAACAAACTGAAGAATGAATGAACTATTACATTAAATGGCTTTGTAAAGATTTTTTGTATAGTTGGGTCGTAAATATGTACAAAAGGGTCTACCTTAACAGCTTAAGGGTATTATACTCCTCGCAAGACTTGATAGTTTTGAGGGTGATGTAGGGTTGTGGATAGTTATAAGGGTTCAAGATGATATTTCATTGTTTTCAACTAGTTGATTGTTTGACGATCTTGAATTGAATGTTGAGTGGTCAAAGAGAGAACGAAAATAATTAATTCTGAACATATCATTATTTTCAACAAGTTAGACAAATCCAGGTCATGCATGGTGTGTACGACTACAGGATTCATGTATCAATATTCACCATGTACACAAGCGATCGTAGTAATCCGACGAACTAATATTCGAAGGGGTTTTGTGGAGATTTTTAGAAATTTCACTAGTTGAAATTTCTAAAAATCTCCACAAAACCCCTTCTGATAATAATCACCTGCTCACTAGTGACTGACTTCAAGAGACACTCCTGGAGTTCTAGTGAGAAGCTGTTACCAGTGGACTAATATTCCTTTATTTTCATTAAAAATAGCTTGATTAGTATATTAAAATAGGTATCTAAAATTAAATACATTATTTAAGACAATAAAATTGCAGTTAATTACCACTCTGTAGTGCTATAAGTTTGAAGATCTTTCATGACTTACTTATGACATGAACTAATAATCTCAATAAATTATGAATTTCAAGCACGACTTAAATGTTAAAAACCATTCGAAACCTAGTAAACATCAAATATTACTTCATTTCCGTGAAGCTTAATCTAAACTTCATATGAAATAAAAATTGGAGTCACTAAACGTCTTATAACTCCGCCTGGAGTCCCTCCGGGGGCTACTGCCAGTCCCAAGCCTGGATAAAGTAGAAGGGTTGGGCATGGGGTTAGCGACTCCATCCCGTAGAAAACCAACTCGCTGAAAAAAGCCTTATATAAATTATAAACAAACTACGCAAATTTTAAGTGGAATTATCATGCCGAATCATGAAATTATTGATGCTCTAAGCTTCTTTTTAAAGCTACTAACCCCTCCTAGTTCTTCTGGTTTTGAAAGATTTTCTCAAGGCGACAGCTAAGAGTCTAATAGATATTTCTTGAAATCTATCAACTTAAGAGATTCCGGTAACATTACCGGTGGATTAATGACGTATTGTTCGCTTGAATTGAGTGTGCAGATTAAAATTTATTTGAACACACAGATATTGGTAGAAAGGGGCACTGAATACATATGCGCCACTTGATTTGTGTGGGCTGTGATACTGCTTGGGTGCCCAAACCGAAGCAGGTGATTTTCTTAGGGAGCCACAACCGGAGCCTTCGACCTAAATGTCTGGTCCACAAGGCAATGGAGCAACGTCAGGAGATGAAGTCCCACAGTAACCGATCGCCAATAATTGGTCCATACTCCATTTGTTGTTTCAGGTTCCTGGAGCCCATGTGCACCATTGGTTTGGAATTAGGGTTTTCCAATTTCTCTAAGTAGTGTCCGTGTTCACCAACCCGATTAAAGCGCCGGATATTCGCCCTTCGTCCTCTCAATTTCGCAAACAACACCCCTTCCACAAGAAAGCACTGAGTAGGACTTCTCTGGTAGTGGTTGCATACGCGTGGTAATATGAGAGCATTTGGATAGATAGAGCTAACTCTCCCCACTCTCGGCCATACCAGGGCATTCTTCCAAGTCAACCGATGTAGGCTCCAATCTTGCAACATTAATTTTCTGTAATTTGTGTTTGATTTACACAGAAAATGTCCGAACCTATGTTTAATGCCTCTTAACCTAACTAAAAACACTTGATTTAGGGTCTAACTAGTTAGTTACTTCAGTTTCTAACTAATTGGATGAAATAGTTAGCCTCACTTAAAATATTTGTAGCTTGCAACAAACTAGACTTAATGAATCCTTTCAATTTGTAACACATGATAACAACCTCAAAAGATCAAATTAATAGAACACAAAAATAGTGGGAAGAGGATAAATACTTAATATGTTTTTAATAATAACACAGAAATCATTCCATTGAAGGGACAATGAGTCTTACAACGTAACCCTAGAAGTGGGGAATTTTGCATTTCTTGCTACGAATAACGGATGAGTGAAATTTAATACCTTTGTTTTCATTAATTTCCTTGGCTATGTTTTCAGCATATATATATATGTCATTAGCGGAAATATTTATAAAATGAATCACATATATAAGGCATACCTCACTGAAAACCAGTATGATCATCCGTAGAACTTCTGTTATTGACGTAGAAGTCAATGACAGGAAACGTTCACCTGAACAAGTATAAGGCCCTCCTGACTGGCGAACGTTCTTGAAAAGAAACTAAATCAAGTCATCAGATAAAAGACATTCTTCTAATGGATTAAAAGATAAGAGAACCTGTACTACATGGAAGCAGTTTGTTCTTGCCTTTTGGATTTGTCTGGTTTATCGTTTGAGTTCCTCTGACATACTTAAGGGAGAGGACATTTTATTTCTGAAATCATGGCATCCCATACATAACAATCAGACCAGGAAAAATGATTAAGATAGTCTTAAGAAAAAAAGCACCGCGTTAAAGTTGAACAGTAGGCAGTCAAGTTGAGAGTTCGAAATTGTTCTATTCGTTCAGGATTATGTTCTGAAGACAACAGGATTTTTTTAAGCGTAAAGCATACCGAAACTTTTAAAAAAAGTGATATACAGAAAGGTACGATCTGAAGTCCGCTATTATTTCCACTCTATATCAATGAGCAACGAACTATTTTAATGATTGGCACTCCTATCTGCAAATGACATAAAAGTTCGAAGAATAATAAGCAGTGACCCCGACTAACTTGAGCCTCAAGTTGATTAAGTAAAATTAGATTGTCTGAAATTGCGATCTAGATTAGAAAACTCCAGAAAGGGTGAAGAAATGCACATCGGTCACGATAACAGTTACAATTAAGCTACCAAGAAGACAATGCTCCCACAAGTCCACTATCAAAAAATTCCGGGTATAATTGTAAACGATAACTTAACAACGCCTGTACACTTCTCAGACCCTTTGATGTTTCGACGGAGTTTTAAATTTTATATCTCACCTACATTACGTGGACGAACCAATAAGATTTCAGCGTTATTCCTACAATACGGTCGATGTTATCTTGTGATGAAAACCTTACAACTCATACATAAATGTTCGTTATTCATGTTAAAACTGTTTATCAGTTATAACTGTATGACTTCTTCACCATAAATCGCTTCATAACTAAAGCCTTTTCATAGACTAAAAAGTAGTTTACGGTTGTTCATGAATTTTAATTCTATCTGATATTCCAATAAGAGTATTGCACCCGACTAGGTAGTCCATATCTAATCGAAGTTGCTGATTAACGGGTATCAAGTTTATAACACACCTCTGCAATCGCCCTCATGAGGAGCGATTGAAACGTCCAAATCGTCTTCCATAAGTTTGCTATAGAAAGAGGTGACTTGTTACTGCGATCCTATGTTTTAAGTAATGATTTAAGCGTTATCTTATCTTTTTTGTTCTTTCGAAGACTAATAATCCCATAAGTTATCACAGAAATTTCGAACCTCAAGGTTCCAGAAACTGCTACCAAACGAATTTCAGTCCGGATTCTGTGTTTTTCTATTGAGCAATCAAAAACTGGGACACTATCCAAAAAGTATTATCAACCCTTATCAGTGAACATTAGGAAGAAACTGGACATCTACATTTACTGTGAAGATTACCAAAGGTTAACCAACCTACCATCCTCATTACTGAAAAACAAGTTAAAAAAGACCCAAAAACCACATCTATAGGAAGTCAAAATGTATTTAATTCCACTGGTAATAAACAATATATTCCATAGCGATCTAACCAGGTGGCCATTGCATTTGTCGACCTCCAAGGACATGAAGATGTAAGTGATATACAGATTGTGCACCATCAGGACCGTTATTCACAACAACACGATAACCAGAAGCTAATCCTTCTTTTTGAGCAACTTGACTGCATACAAGCATTAAGTGACCTAATAGCTTAACATATATAGTCATATGAAAACGGAGAAACAGGAATACCTTTTCGTGTTCTGAACTCGCTGAATCAAGTGTCGGAATTTGTTTTTTCGGAATAACTAGGAAATGTGTTGGCGCTTGAGGACTGATATCTCTAAAAGCAAGACAATCATCATCTTCATAAATTATATCAGCTGGGATTTCTTTGTTAATAATTTTTGAAAAAATTGTAGGTCCTTGAGTACGCACAGAAGTCCTGGCTTTTTCTACTTCTGACGACATCCTTCTGCCGATATTAGAAAAAACAGTGTTCAGTGAATTTTTCTGACCAGACAGCGACCCCAAGACGAGAAAAATCGGAAGGTTCAAAAGGCGCATGAGAACACAACCTTCATCAACGGTACAGACAAAAAGCCAGTTAGCAGAACGATAGGAGGCTGGGTAGCCTGTGTTAGTTTTAGAAATGGTGGTCTCTCAGTTTCAGGAGGTTATTGAGTTAACATCAAATGATAAGTATGAATATTTTTTAGAGCCATTTTAAACTAGGAATATTCAAATGGTTCAAATGGTTCAAATGGTTGTGGACGGAATAGAAGAAGCTTTCGCTTAACAGGCTTCCGTGTCTAGTAGCAGGGGATCACCAAATCCTCCAGGCAGGAACCTAGGTATGTTAACAATAAAAGAGGAAAAGAAATTGGTAAATCATGGTGTGATGCTGTCCTTGGTCCTTAAGAATAGATCAAGTTGCCTCTTGAAGGACTCCTGAGAAGTCGCTTGGACTAGCTCGGCCGGCAGCGAATTCCAGCTTTTGACAACTCTTAAGGAGTAGAAGTTGTGTCTACATTCCGTCTTGCTATGTTGTGTTTCCAGTTTCTGGGTGTTACCCCTTAGGTTATTATTCGAACTAAGCTTAAGTAGGTGTTTAAGAGGATGTCCAGAAGTGTTAAGAATACTATAAGCCATTAATAAATCACCTCTAAGACGCCTATATTCTAATGGGTAAAGGTCTAGTGAACGGAGGCGTTCTTCGTAAGGCTTAGATTTGAGTCCTCGAACTGATTTCGTGGCTCGCCGTTGGATACGCTCCAAAGTGACCTTGTCCTTTTGGAGTGAGGGGAGAGTACTATGTTTCCGTACTCTAAATGGGGACGGATGAAACTATTGAAGATTGTGTGGAAAGTTCTTCCGTCAAACTGGCCAAAAATGCGCCTCAACGTTACCAGTGCAAGGTTTGCTCGGAAGGCATTTTTGTCACAGTTAGCGTAAGACTTTAGGTCATGGGGCACCAGGACTCCTAAATCTTTTTCGACTTGGGATACTACTAGAGAGGAGTTTCCTAAGTTGTAACTGTAGTTTGCGACATGTCGCAGATGGACTACTTTACACTTTGAAGTGTTAAAGGTAAGTCCGTTATCGTCTGCCCAACTTTGAAGTCGAGTCAGATCCTCCTGAAGTGCCTGTATATCGTCTTGGTTGCGTATCTCTCTCCAAAGTTTCACGTCATCGGCAAAAAGTAATACGTCTGACGTTACCTGTTGAGGAAGATCATTTATGTAGATCAATAAGAGAAGAGGCCCTAGTACTGAGCCCTGGGGGACCCCACTAGGACATTCCATAGCCTGAGATAAAGTGAAATTAACCCTAACCTTAAAGTGTCGATTTTTTAGGTATGAAGTAAGCCAGTCGATTAGAGGTGGTTTGATACCTAGTCGTTTGAGCTTGTTGATAAGACACAAGTGGTTAACCTTATCAAAAGCTTTTGAGAAATCAAGGTAAATGACGTCAACCTTTCCCTTGCAATCGAGGATGCTTGTCCATCTGTCCACCGCAGTCAGCAGGTTGGTTATACAAGAGCAACCCTTCCCGAAACCATGCTGTTGGGGTGAGAAGAAATTTAAGGACAGTAGATAGTCATTTAAACGGTCGCATATCAGGGTCTCCATGAGTTTTGGAGGTAGTGACAGAAGAGCCACCGGCCGATAACTTGAAGGTTCATTGCGTCGACCACCTTTGAAAATTGGTGTGATGTGAGCCAACTTCCAATTTTCCGGTAATTTGCCTCGGCTAAGCGAGTGTGAAAACATCACGCTAAGCAGCGTTGCCAGGATTGAGGCTGCCTCCCTCAGTATGGCAGGATGAACCGTATCCGGGCCAGGAGAAGTGTCAAGTCTTAAGTGCTGCAATTTCCGGAACACCAAGTCAGCGCTTAGGTCCACTTTAGAAAGTCCTGTGGAATTGCAGATGAAACTGTCGTCAATAAAGTTGATGTCAGCCGGTTGAAATGTTTGAGAGTAATGTGCCGCCAGAAGGTTAGCGGCGTCGCCATCGTTGTTGGTCGGGCCGTTAAGACCTAGCAGTTGAGAAACTCCTGTTTTGGCTTGACGAAGAGAGGCTACATAACGGAATAGGCTTCTAGGGTTAGAGGCGAATTTGTCCATAAGCTTTGTTTGGTACTGAAGCCTGTTTTCTCTTATAGCCTTCGTGCATATGTTCCTGATATGTTTATATTGCCTATACGCTCCATCGTTATTAGTTCGTTTGTATTCCGCCTAACGGTGTCTTTTGCGGCTTAGCAGGCGAAGGGTACGGTTCTTGATTACTGTAGGTGGCTTGCAGCTTTTGGGAACCGTTTGAGGAACTGAATGGTCTGTAGCACATAAGAGCGTGTGCAGTAAGAAGTCCCAATGACCATCCACATCGAGTTGAGGGTGAACATCCCAAACCACCTGTTGTAGATAGTCATGTAGAGCTGGCACATTCAGCCGTTTAAAATTCCAACGTAAATTATTGTTGGGATACCTTAGCTTAGTTTTGATGACAAAAGTGAAGGCTATGATGGCATGATCGCTCTTTCCCAGAGGAGCCAGGATTGAGAGGTTGTCGACTAGGAATTCTTCGTTAGTGAATACACAGTCTAAGCGCGATGGTGTCTGACTGTTTCTCCAACGAGTTGCCGACCTCACATTTTCATATAAGCCCAAGTTATCGATGAGGTTGAAGAACCGAGCTTCAATTGAGTTGTCCCCTCCAGTGTACGTGTGTTCCGCGAAGTTGACTATAGGGAGATTAAAGTCCCCTAGAATCAGGATGTGTGTGAAACCGAGACGGATAGAGCGGGATAGTCCTTCCGGCATACGACTATCGTACTCGATGTCGGCAGTTGGCTTCCTGTAAATGACTCCGACTAGACACCTGGAAGTACTAGACAATCTTGCAGAGCACCATATGGATTCCTCAGGATTGTTAAACTCGAGGTTGTGAACTTGGTGCACTTCCAAGCAAGAGCTTATGTATATGGCTACTCCGCCCCCAATTCCTGTTTTTCTGTCGTTGCGGAACAAAGTCATCCCAGGTAATGCTAACTCTTGGTCCGATAACTGAGAAGATATCCAGGTTTCAGATATTCCTATCAGATGGGCCTTATTAGCGTTGCTAAGTTCACGTAGTTCATCCAGTTTGTTTGGTAGACTCGCGGCGTTCATATATAAGCAGTTTATGCTTTCAATTTGGAACGCGTGAGCTTCGTCCTGTTTTTCTGTATGAACCTTATGTGAATGGACAGGTAGCCCACCTATATGAGGTTTGCCGAGGTGGTAGGCCCTGTCCTTTACACGTTTTTTTATCGTTTAGACAGTCCACAAGTGGAATAAGCAACCGTCTCAAGGAGGCAATTTTTAGACAATTCCTCCCGTCGATGGAGGAACGCTTGAGGACGCTTTTATCACGTCACTCCCTGGGTGACACTAAGCCGAGCCACCACTCTCATAGGACACACGACAGTAGACACTGAAATAGCTAAAGAACTGTGGTTCGAATCCCTACCTGTGAATATACAACCCACAGTTACGGCTCTGCTCGAGTACACCCTGCTTAAGCAGGCGGCTCTCATAGCAGATAAAATACTGGCACGGATCAGCACCCGAGACAGCTATATAGTTGCCTCAACATCACGTTCAAACTTAGACGTCGACGCTAGTCACTTTCCGGCTCATGGTGATAGGGGCGGCTGTATTCATACACGTCTCAATTTTCAAGATCGTTCCGATGTACCAGAAACCCACGTCCCTAAAGCTAGATCACGCTCTCGTAAAGCCGTAACCACTCGCACAATGCGGGCATCTTCCAAGTCACGCCAAAAGGTGGCTTCGGAAGCGAGTGCGGGTTGGTGATGGTTCCACCGTGTTTTCGGGTCCAGTGCCCTCCGCTGTCGAGCTCCCTGCTCGTACGACGCGGAAAACTCCCGAGCCGGCGAGTAAAAGCCGCCGCACTCGTCGGCCTCTTACCCCAGGTTGGGCGTTTATTTTATGTTCACGATTATCGCACTAACGCTAGGTACCTAGTAGATACAGGTGCTCAAGTTTCTGTCGTACCTATTGGTAACAGTAATTCACAAGCTAAGATGCTTCGACTACGCACTGCGAATGACTCAGCCATCCCACCTACGGTACGCGACAACTCGCGGTCAACCTGGGAAACCGACGACGGTATCTGTGGACGCTCATCATTGCTGATGTTCCCACAGCCATATTAGGTATCGATTTCCTACAGCACTATGAATTTCTTGCCGATTCACGTAGGCTGCAGCTAACCGATATTTCGTCAGACAGTAAATTCGCGGGCTGCAAAGCCCACACGAACGCATCACTTTTTACTCGCGTGACGACATATTCCACGCTCTATTCGAGAAATTCTCCACACTACCTAAACCACTCGAGGAGCTTCCATCGTTGACCAGTCGTGTGGTACACCACATAGTCACCCGCGGACCGCCAGCACGGCACGACCTCGCCTACTGGCGCCGGACAAATTAGCCTTCGCTAAACATGAGTTTGACAGTTTACTAGCTACTGGTATTATTCGTCCCTCTCATAGTCCATGGGCCTCTCCTCTTCATATGGTGTGCAAAAAGCATGGGGTTAGTTGGAGACCGTGCGGCGACTACCGAGCTTTAAACGTAGTTACGCACTTTGATAGCTACCCCATCCCCCACATACACGACATCACGGCATCGCTCAATTGCACGCTTATCTTTTCTAAGATCAACCTGGTACGAGCACATCATGAGATCCCAGTCGCCTTTGAAGACATCGAGAAAACTGCTATGACGACTCCTTTCTGTCTGTTTGAGTTTCTACGAATGCTATTTGGATTACGGAATGCTGCTTAAGCTTTTCAAGGGTTTATCGGTAGTATAGTACGAGACTTAGATTTTGTTAACGTCTTTATTGATGACCTGTTAATCACATCATCAAACGTAGATGAGCATTATCAGCACCTAACACTCCTATTCCAGCGCCTTTCGGATAATGGAATAATAGTCAGCCCAGACAAGTGTGAACTGGGCAAAACGTGATTAAAATCCTTAGGTCACATTATTAAGTAAGAGGGTATTTTACCGTGTGAGGACAAAGTACATGCAATAATGGAGTACACCGTACCGTCCACACCCAAAAAACTGAAGGAATTGCTTGGTTTGGTTAACTTCTACCGTCGTTTCATCCCACACGCGGCAGAACGGTTACGACCAT